TCAGTATTTAATATAGCTGGCAAAGTAATGTTCAAATATAATGATAGAAAATGAAAGATTTAGCTTTTCGTGCTTTAAGTCGCTCAGCCCTCTTGATACAAGAGAAAACTCAGTTGTTTTTTTAAATATGCTTATGAACCGTTAGTTGATTGATAAGAGAAATGAACTGTAGATAATTAATCGATAACTTCCCTTCCTCCCCTCTGGATCTCACTGCTTTGTCACCGGATTGTGTTGCAGGTCAGATCTGCTGTCTGCTAAAGAGATTCTCAGTGGAAACGGTGAGGCCTTGTGGTCAGTTTTCATTCATCAAAGCATCAGATTGATCAGGTTTCGACACATTTATCCGTCTTTGCTCAGATGAGGTCATGGGTCAGGTGATGAGCATCATGGAGTCCCAGTCCGTCCCCTTCACGGCCGTTTATACCGGCCTGCAGCCCTCCAGGGTGAGCCCGTCGTGGTGATGGTGAACGCTGCTCTTCATGAGGTGTGGTCCAACCCGCCCTGACCCGTTTTGTGTCGGCAGAAGGAAGCGGCGTCCATGTCTCTGGAGGCGGGGCTTGGTGGAGGACGCTCCCTGCTGCAGTCCAAAGGCAGATACAGGGACCAGTGGAGGGACCGGGAGCGCCAGCAGCGCGTCAAGGAGCAGCCCGGAGTCTACCCTCCTGTGGAGTTTAAGGTGCTTTTTCTGTCTTCCTCTGCCTTAAAGGGACAGTACAGAATTTAAAAATTTCTGTTGATCGGTTCTAATCATTCAGAAGTATTCACATTTTGTCACGTTTCAGCTGCAAAACTTGAACTTTTATGTGTTAAACAAACAAAACATTTTATTCCAGGGATTTAGATCTGTCTGTTGGGGGGTTCAAAGTGTGGCCCGCGGGCCATTTGTGGTCCTGGAAATTTATTTATTCGGCCCCTGAAAACAAGAAAAGAATGGTACAACAAAACAGAAAACAATTTAACAAATTTGGAAATCATCCTTTTTATGTTTTGGTTCTTTAATAGTATAAATATTTTATAAAAATATATATATATATATTTAAAACGATAAACAATTTTTGCATTTTTAATTTAGCAGGCCAGTAGTTTAAATTTTCTGATTTTGGCCCCAGGAGAAAAAGTTTGGACACCCCTGATCCGTGTTCTTTAACTAGCAACCCACAGCATGATGCAGCCGCCACTGTGTTTCTATACTTTCTGAAGAGACAAATCAGCAACGAGCCTCTCATTAAGCTGTTCTTATCTTACTTTAATTAAACAGAGATTATTAATTTTAATAACTAGAGAAGTTGAACCAGGTGAAGCTAAAACTGCCGCATGAAGAGTTCTGGATAAATCAGATTTATAGACAAAGAATTTTTTTGTTTCTCTTAAATGCAAATATTTTTTTTGCTCAGTTTTGGCTTAATTACAGCTCAGAGTAACAATTGCCTTTTTTGTCATTTAACTATTAATCGATTACTAAATTTGTTGACAGTTATTTCAATAATTGATTAATCGCTTCAGTTTTCTGCTCTGTTTTCTGCAGGAAGACGACAAAACATGCATGATGCTGTGGGCCAAAGGCCTGACTGTGAGCATCCTGCGGAACAACCGCTGGGAGGAGCACGACCTGACGCCAGCCACCTTCGGCGAGGGAGTTAGCCCCAAGCTACACGGCTCCGACTGCGACAAGAGCAAATCCAGGTGGAAAAGGCTGAATTTTAGGTTTAGCAGCTAAAACAGAGGCGATGGAGGAGTTTTCAGCTGGACTCTTCCTTCATTCCTGTTTGGTTTCTTTCCAGGTTGGTTCTGAACTATGAGAACGTCCTCGGCCACCGCAGCTTCAAGCTGATGTGAGTGTTTCACAGGCCTCTGATGTAAACAATTATTTTACATCTACTCATTATGACAATTAGTCTTATAAAATGTTTAAAACAATAACATATTGGTAAATCCTCCCATAACAGCAGAATTAATATTGAAACCTGCTGCAGTAAATCGCCGTTATAGCGACCTCTGGTGGACTCATCATTATGACATTAGCTAAATGCGTTTATCTGATTACGGATGGGAAACATTTTTTAATAAATGCTTTCCTCACGTTTGATTATTGTACAAGGTTTCATACATCAGAAGCAGTTTTGCAAAATGCGGTTAAACCATTTTTATTGTTATTCTCTTTAAATCATGCATTATTTTTACAATGACATTAAAAAAGAAACAAAATACATTCCCTGGAAGTATTCTTTCTACCACATGCTCGCATTAGTCGATTGTACGGATCCCCGAAAACCCGAACATGTCAGGGGAAAAGCTCTCTGATATGCTAATAGCAGTTAGCATTCATGAGACCGTCACGCAGCACCAAGATTACAACGCTTCGAGGCGGATTATTTCCTTCGAGGGATTTTAATAATTGAGTCTCTCGACTTATTTGACGAATTGTAAAGCCCGACTGCGATTGTGCGTTTTCTTTATATTGTTTAGTTTTTTTTACTTGTGTTTTGCGGTTGGTTCCAGCTTCGTCATGAGTCAGCGCCATTACACGGTGTCGGCGCGCCGCTGGTTCACTCTGGATGCCGTGGAGCTGGAGTACGACGGCACCAAAGCCACGTTCAACGGCAGCAGGAACATCTACGCCCCGGCTGAATACTCCTACCGCTGCAAGTCCGTCAGCAGCTTCCGCTGGCCGCTGCTCGTCCCGCGCTCCGCCAAAGACCCGGCCAACCAGTGGAGGGTCTCCTTCGACGACTTTCAGGTGAGTTTCAGTCGGTTTGACTGCAGATTCCCAAACGTTTCCACCCATGGGCCCCTAACAGCCTGAACCCACAGACAGTGCTACAGAATACTGAAACATCCACTCACTATTCATAATTATTACATTTATTTAGCTAAATGCTAACCTCTTACCTTCTGGCTTTAGATGGCCATGAGTTCTGTGACAAAAAAATGTATTGTCATGACCATTAACAAATTATACAACTCTTCTACACAATCCCCTCATTTGATTATCTAAAAAATTAATATCTTATGTTAATCACATAAAAAAATGTATTCCCTCAGTTACATGCAGAGTTAGGTAGTAATTAGTTACATTTACCTTTTGTGGAAAATACTTCTAGGAGTATTTTTACTATGATGTACTTTTACTTTTGTAATTTCTGGATATTTTAGCCACTATGAGTAACTTCACTGAATGAAAAACAAACATGTTTTAACCAAAAACTCACCAGACAGACGCACATCTGCAGTTTTTGTTGGTTTTATTTTGAAAGAAACTGATTTGGAAAAATTTCAAAATAAATGATAAATGGCATCTTCTTCTGCTGAACAGTAGTTATATAGTATTTATCGCATCGTTTATCGTGAATTTAGATTTGTAGCCATACATTTCCATTAATTATGTTTAAAACCTCCCAAAACTCTTCATATTGTTGAGATTTTACTGTTTTCTCTGTTTGTCCAATGGGAGCATGAATAAATAACAATAAAGCTGAAAATGTTCCTGTGAGCAGCTCAGAGATAAAAATCAGACTTCTTCATGTGACTGGATTCCTAAAGAAACACATTATAAATGGGAATGTTTTTCAAGAGAAGTGTTTGTGTTTGAGGGGCTGGAATTGATGTAACACAACAGTTACCTGATGAGAACCATTATGTAAATAGTTCTCATCACTTTTCTTGTCTCAGTAGTACCAGAAAACAAAGCAATAAATCTCTAAATTCATATCACCAACTGAAAAGGAGAATAACCCTGTGCATCACACAGACACTAACTTTTATAAAAAAATATCTTTTTACATATTTGTTGAAACCTTCATGTTGTGACAGTTTGGTAAGAGATGGATAAATTCAGCTCCTGCCTTCTCCCTAACAGGAGGCGGGTCTTAGTGCTGTCAATCACCTCTGTCCTTCTGTTGCTCTCTCCAGCTAGCATAGCTTGTTGTGAATGCTAAAGCTAGTTAGCATTTGAGTGAGTTGTTTCTCCACCATTCGCACATTTAGCAGCGCATACATGAGTGATTGACAGCGCTAAGACCCTCCTCCTGGCTCTGATTGGTCATTTAGAGCGGCGCTTTTCTTCAGGCAGCAATAGCAGCTCTGGGAGATCCATCTTTTTACAGATTATAGATTATAAATTTGATGTTTTATTTTAATATTTTCCCAGATCCAGGGCTTCAGCCTGAGTGGCAGCGAGTTCTCGTACGCCAGCGACTGCGCGGGGTTCTTCTCAGCGGGGATCTGGATGGGCCTCCTGACCAGCCTGCTCATGGTTCTGGTTCTGACCTACGGCCTGCACATGATCATGCAGCTGCTCACCATGGACCGCTTCGACGACCCCAAAGGCCCCGGCATCTCCGTGCCCCAGACGGAGTGACGCAGCCCTCCCATCGCAACCAGTCCTCCCATCGCAACCAGTCCTCCCATCGCAACCAGTCCTCCCACCGCAACCAGTCCTCCCATCGCAACCAGTCCTCCCATCGCAACCAGTCCTCCCATCGCAACCAGTCCTCCCATCGCAACCAGCCCTCCCACTGCAACCAGTCCTCCCATCGCAACCAGTCCTCCCATCGCAACCAGCCCTCCCACTGCAACCAGCCCTCCCACTCCATCATCATCATCTTCACTGAAACCTTAATGTGAATCCCAGCACTGATGAGTCAAAGTTTAGGTGGTTGAAACATCCAGAGATAATTACTGATTATTTATTAAATGTAATAAAAGATGCTATTTATTATTGTTACTGATGTGATTGTTGTGAAGTTCCAGTTTACATTTGGTTTGTTGTAGATAAGTGAGATTATTACTGGAAGCATTAAGCTTGGATTACGGATTATGTTCATGACATTCCATTGTTGTCTTGTTGCTGTGACTCCAATAAAACATCCTAAAGGTGTCACTCCTGGTTGGCGGCCATCTTTAAACTCAGAGTTCCTTCCTGTTTGGATTGGAAGAATTTAAAAACTGAATTTATAGTTTAGGAAGGTTTTTGGAAGAGTTTTTATCCAGAAAATGTAAATGCAAGTCAGGTTTATTCATGAAAAATTGAAATAAAAATGCAAAACAGGTTGAGAAAACTTGAAGGTACAGAAGAGTAGATAATTTCCCTTTGGGACCAATAAAGTGTTATAGTTTAATTTGAAGAGACGTTAAGCTGCTAATCAATGCTGTAGAAATTCCTGATTATTATGAATTTCATCCAGAACACAGAAGACCTGATGACGGTTTCACCCAGTCAGAAAAGCTGCAAAAAGAAAATAATGAAAATATTAATATAAATTTTGGACACGTTAGAAAAATTTTTTCCATTAGAAGCAAAATTGTTAAACTGAAAGCACTTGAGGGCCACGTTTTTATTTAAATTAAAAGAAATATAAATTTACTTTTTAATAAAAAATTTTGTTCATTTAAAAAACAAATTTTAAAAATGTTCAAAGGAAAAAAGCTGCAACAACCTGGTTGCATAAATGTTCAGACCCCAAAACTACCTTTGTTAAAGCATATTTTCTTAGAATTAAATGTTTTTTTGGAAGAAGTGTTTCAGCATTCCACATTTTGAGTTGACAATATCCCACAAGCTAATGTTAGCATGTTGTTTGAGATCCAAGTTTAACTCTCACACTAACGTTTGCACACTGAATGGAGCCAATGTTAACCAACATGCCACTGATTGATGACCGGCATGGAAATGGTAGTATTTAAGGTAATATTAGCATTGTAGCTCATACACTTCTATAGCTGCAGGTCACATGCTAATGATAGCTAGAATCCTATAAATAGCACATATGCTAACTCTAGCTCAACTAATTTTAGTGTATGAATTGTAGTTTTCAAACCAGATGGAGTATGTTGCTGTAAATAACCCCAAATTAAGGCATTTACTTGTTTGCTGTAGGTCAACATGCTATCAATAGTCTCCATTTTGATCTTAGAATTTTAGCTAATTTTAACATTTAAGCTAACTTTGATACAAAACCTCAACCTAACATACTAAAAAGGAGTAAATCAGTGTTAGTCAACACGGTAGTGATAGCATACGTGGTATTCATCTGCCTTTAGCTAAATTTAGTATAACTAATGCACAAACTTTAGAGGATAACTCACCGTAACAAATATAATCCACCTCCAGGTACTTGTAGGTTCCAACGCAGGGGTCTCCAAACATCGAGTTACTGGCTCTGATGTTACAATGCCGTTTCCCGTTGCATCTGTGGTTTGAAATCAAGTCAGTTTCCAATAAAATGTGATTTTTATATTTGTAGACCTCCTAGTTCACACACATGTGCATCCAGTTTTATAAACATTTAGGAAATACTGAACTTCTGTACCTCTGACCAACTTTGTCTGAGCTACTGGAGCAATGGATGTTGGTTATCTGGTTGGCGGGTCGTCCAGCGATGCACGTCTTCTGATCGCTGCGTCCATATGTAGCACTGGTCACATGTATAACCTCACCTTTGTCTGACAGTGAGAATTGAAAATGTTGGAGAGACAATTTCATGGTGTAATGCTCCAGAATTTCCCAATAAAACCAGTGATCTTACCACACCGGAGTTGAGCCACTGATCCCTCACATGCCACAGTGGGATGTTTTCTTTCAGGGTCTGTCATAAGAGAGATTCAGGTCACATTAATGAATACAAAGTTGGG